ACAAGAAAGCACTGAGGTCACGATAACTTGACAGTGTTGAAAGGCGAACTCAACCTGTCCAACAACAAAAGACTTTTATGCCCATCCTTTTGTGATGTGTTCTGCTCATGTCCTTGGCTGTGTTCACAGAGAGATGTGCATTTGTTGTGTGTGAGGCTGTTTATCATCATCACACTCATGCCATGTGTGTCCTTTACTCCACCCCGCCTCCACCCCACCCCCGCATCCACACCCACCCCTGCCCCTTGCAGGCAAGTCACACCTCCACAACGTGGGTACGTGCTTTATCATTACGTCTGCTCTCGCAGTACTCACTCACAGCTCTAGATGCTACTGAGTAGTGGCTCCTCAGACTAACGCCAGTCTAGCGTAGTAGACTGTGTCTCTACGTATAACGCCTGTGCTAACGTATCAGTTCTACATTAAACACGTCTTTGAGGGGAACTGTTCTAACATATTAGACTATCTTTACGTTTAAACACCAGTCTATGAGGGAAAGCCTAATGTATTAGGCTCTTTCTCTATGTATAACACCAGTCTAACGTAATAGACTGTCTCTCTACGTACATCACCAGTCTAACCAATTAGACTGTACGGTACCTCTCTATGTATAATCCCAGTTTAACGTATCAGGCTGAATATCTCTACGTACAAAACCAGTCTAGCATGTTCGACTAAGCATAATGCCAGTCTCTAAGGAGAACCCTTCTAACATATCAGACTGTATCTGCCTACATATAGCCATAACCATGTGCTAAATGAGATGAGTAGGAATAACAAGGTACAAAAAGACTATTCCTCTTACTCTAACCGCATCGTCTTCTGTCTTGTGTAACTTCACAAACTCGATTCTTCTCGCGACTAATCCTGTGAGCTTTGTTGTGGGTGGTCAGAAGATGGGTCTTGTAGCTCTATAGAGCCTAGTGGTCAAAGACCACGCATCATTCTGGTGTGATAGTTTTTGTACCAACAAGCGTAGGTCTTTGCTGCTTGTCTTTATAATCTACTTTTACTTTGTGCTGTTACTTTGTCCTGCTCTGTTGCTGTCGAGCGTCGAGGGGAGATGCAGTGTCTGTGGTAGGCCAACTCTGCAACTGTTTCAACTGAGATGTTGTTCGGCCTTTTGGCTAAGGTCAAAGTGTAGTATCTGTTCCTGACTTTGCCCCCGGCCTTGTGCCCACTGGTAAGTGGGACGGACACCGCAGAAGCTGATGATGGACGGAGAAATTTGTCCCCCAGTTATATCTAGTGGATGGGTTACCGTCCTCTTTAAAAAGAGACAGCAAAAAAAGACCCTGAGATGTTGTAGTTTCTCTGGGTTCTCTTGACTCCCTCAATCAATCCCCCTTTTGCGTGGCCTACCTCTTCCTATGTAGCCTGAGTACTTGTTGTTATAGGCTCTCGAGGCTGGCTGGCCAGGTGACATTTTATAACACATGGCCATACCGTTTGATTGTTCTTTGTTTTTCTGTGGCATGCTGGCAGGCTTCTGTGCCAGTAGTCGCTTCGACACCTTCATTTCTCGGCCTGTCACTTCCTGTGATGTTCCGGGTTTTGCTGGAACGTTTCATTTCGTATGCATGTGTTCATGTCAGGAGTGGAGTTGTGCGTTGTTTGAGATGGCAACACGTAAAACGCCTGCGGAAGTGTTCTGTTGTAGAGAGCATGATGGATACATATATTGCTAGTGGTCACAGATGTTGTAGAGAGCATGATGGATACATTTATTGCTAGTGGTCACAGATGTAGCACAGATATAGCGCACTAACATTACTGTCAGCTTTGTTCATTAGCTTACGCACACGTACACGTGTGCATACACACATACACACTCACAAGCACTCACAAACATACTTACACTCGTTGCACTCACACACATACGTACATACAGCTGACGCTCGTTGCTTTTTATGTTAGTGTGGATTTTTTTGGTTTTGTTTAGCTTTTTATAGATTTATTTGTCCTTTTCCTTTTCCTTTTGCCGTATCATTGTGTGGGTGTTGGGTGTTTTTGGTTTGTTTTGTCACAGAATGTGGACTGTGTTTACTCCAAGTTCTTAGTACGAAGCAATCAGTACATTGTTATTACTTATAATGCTCGGGCTCCTCAAGGAGCTATGGTCGGGAGAGCTCCTACTTCCTCAAGGACAAAATAGAAATAGTCTTTGTGCTTTTTTTTAGTCACGTTGAAAATCTGTAAGTGTAAGTTGAGATAAGGAAGATGGGTAATGCTCAAACAGATAACTGAGGTATAAATGCTCAGACAGATGACTCAGGTATAAATGCTCAGACAGATGACTCAGGTATAAATGCTCAGACAGATGACTGATGTATAGTCCAGCAATTGCTAACGTTTGTTGTGCTTGGCACTTGATTAAGTACGTCTTGAAGTTCATGAACATCAAGTGTGTTATGTTTTAGTCCCAAATGACTTAGGTATATATATGATAGAGTTGCTTTTTGCTTTTTGCTTTAAATTTAATGAAGCCAAAGTATGTAAAATGTTTCTTATGATGTGCATGATATTGAGGTGTTCCCTCTACATTTTGTGTCATTTGACGAGATTTTATGTCATTTGACGAGATTTTGTGTCATTTGACGAGGTCTTGTGTCATTTGACAAGATTTTGTGTGATGTGCGAAGGTCTTATGTGTTGACTGTTTACTTTCTCCTCTTATTGCTTTCCTGGATTTTCCTGCGTGAAGTGTAAGGTAAGGTGCCTGCCACGGTCGTGGAAGAACTGCTTGACATTGTCTCACCATTTCCCACTCAGTGTCCTCAACTTGATGGCCATTTTTGTTTTGTTTGTTCATTCATTTTTATTTTTTTTTCTACTGATGAGATGTTGTATAAGTGTGCATAATGATGTATACATTTCTCGGAAACTTTCTTTTTGATTTCTCTCGTCGCTTCTATCTATGTTTGGTGGCCCATATCTTTTGAGTTGCTTCCCGACAAAGATTGTCTTTGCATGCAGCTGTTGTTGTTGTTCAAACGGAGCGGGAAATTGTTCACGAAGCTTCTCTCTCCTGTTGTGTCCACATAATGCTTTGTGCTGTCTGTGTCTGCTCACGTCACGCAGGTGAACTTAAACAACTTTATGGCTGATCTTGTTTTTTAACCGCTGTGCATGCCGGCTGACGCACACTGACTGGCCGCGAGGGCTCGCTGCGGTGGGGGACGGGGCGATCGCATGATCTCCCCAGTCTGTACGACTCGCTCGGTGCATGAACAAGTCAGCTGCACACTAAATGCTGCGATTTCTTCAAGATGCTTGTGCCGCTCTAGCGGTTTCTTGTCAATGTACTAAATAGATATAATGTCGATACGGTTGTTGTTACTATGTTAGTACTGCCCCCCCCCCACACACACACACACAAACACACGCACACAGAGTATTTGAGGTAGTACTCATTCACTGTATGTAGTTTCAAGATGGCTTTTGGGGTAGTTTGGGTTTTTTAGGAGGTTGGTTTTTTTTCTCTCTTTCCCTTGATCTATTCCACCAGGCAGATAATTACACAACACAGATTTTTCCCCATTCTCTGTCTTCTTTGTCATCTTTTTTTCAAGAACCCC